TCCTGGCCGTCCCGCAGGTTCCTCGCGGGTGACCCCCTTGCAGGAGGTAGGGGCCTATTGGGGGGTCACCGAGAGCAGCCCCTGAACGTAGAGGGGCCCGGAGTTCTGGCGCCCACTCTGAATTTCCCTTTATACTCGGGAGGGCGTGCATGCTCCCGTTCCCTGGAAGCAAAGGGCGCTCCTTTCCGAGCGAAGGGCTTTTGCTTTGCGCCCCTGCTCGTTCCACATCAGGGCGAAAGGTCGAGTTTGACCCCAGCCCCACTTCTGTCCTGCTCGGAGGAAGGGACTTGGTGAGGGCAGTCCCGCCTCTTGTTTGGAAAGTGTTGAGGGGGATCCTTTTCGCGGCCACAGTGGCTGATCCTTTGGGCAGAATGGGGAAGGAGGGCCTAAGGATTGGGACGTCGATGGTTTTGCGAAAACGGAGAGGGTTCCACCGCGGTGTTTTTAGGCCTGATGGCAACCGGACGCATCAAATGCTGGGATCCCTACCCTCACTCACAGCCTGCCCCCTGCCTGGATGCGGGGGGGCGCTTAGAACTGCAAGGCCTCGCCGCCCTTTCAGGAAGCCGACAGGCTGTGGAGCTCAGAACTCTTGAGGTTGTCCCAATGGCTTGGGGCTGAGGACTGGCTCCTCCCAAGGTGGGAGGATCCGTTAGTCTCCAGCGGCTTCCCCAGGTGTGGTCTCTGGCTACCTCTCCTCCGCAGTAGGTTGGTTGTAACGTGCATTGGATTGGGTTGCTCCTCAAAACGCCTCGATTCTGAGACAGCTTTTAACCGAGGAAGTTGGTAGTGTTGGTTGGGGTGACATACAGCCTTGTATGAGCATCCTAAGAGCTTTGGCTCAAGGTGAGTATTTTTTAAAATGTATTGAGAGCGTTGGAAAGACAGCTCCTGACTAAAGGTTTGGATCACAGGCTGTGGTCTTACCTTTGTTTACTGGATGGCAATTTATTTGAAAGTTAACTCTTCGTGTATCTAAAGTGTAACGTGTTCCAGAAAGATCTTTGAGCCAGGCAGGTGGCCCGTGCCTGTAAAATTGTTACCCCAGCGCTAGGAAGGCTGAGTCAGGAGGGTCACTTTGAGTTTGAGGCCAGCCTTGGCTACATAGTAGGTTCAAGGCCAGCCTGAGCTACAGAATGAGACCCTGTCTCGGCGGTGGGTGGGTGGGGTGTCCTTTTGGTCACACAAAAATCTCAGTTCCCGCGATGCAAAATGCATCCTGCAATTTGTTCCGTACACTTTCGTGAAGACTTCGGAAGGTGAAGGAGGTGAAGGGAAGTCGTACTTGTAGTTGACGCTTAGAACTGAGCTGAAGTCACACATTCCAGCTCTCTGCTTGCAACAGGGCACCTGCATGAGGTCCTGCTCTTGGGGGTGACCCCAGGAACCTCCCTCAAATCACTGCTGCTGTTTTTTGGTCCCTCAGAAAGAGTCAGTGTGGATTACAGTTATAGTCTGGTGGCTACAGTTAAGGCACTGATCCCACCAAGGAAGGGAAAAAGAAGAGTTGAGAGTTTTTAGAGAACTTGGAGGCCTTCTGAAATCTCCTTCCAGGGTGACTTCACACCAGCAGGTGCTTTCTTTCTTTCCCAAGTGAGGGAACGGCCCCTCTCAGCCAGCCAGTGTGAGGTGCTGGGTTTGGAGTGGTAATTTTTTTGTGCTTCCTACCGACTTCCAGATCGCAGCCAAAATTGGAGGCGATGCTGCCACAACCGTGAATAACAGCACTCCTGATTTTGGTTTTGGGGGCCAAAAGAGACAGTTGGAAGATGGAGGTAACTCCCAGGGGCTGTTTGTGTGTGTTTGTTTGGGAGGTGGCTGGGGCAGGAGCAGCACTTCATTTGTTAGATTGGTGTTCAGAATGCGGGCTGCTGCACGGTCTCCTAAAACCTCAGTGATCCTAGCTTTGTTCATTCTTTTTGTCTGCCACTTTGAGGTGTCAGGTGACTGAGAGAAAGGCAGGTTGGTTGTGACTGGGGCTAAGTTGTAAGTTCCCGAGATCATTCCTTTCTGGCAGGAGGCTGGGAGCCTCGAAGCCTCCACAGAGTTGGGCCAACCCTAGGACGTGCAGCATTACCTAAGGGACCACCAGTGACCGGTTCTACCTCTGTGAAGCCGTCTGGCCCCCAAGCAAGCCTGGTCCTAAACTGCAGGAATTCAGGGCCACTGTCATTGTCTACTTGTTAGAAAGGTCCCAGTGGCATGGCTGAGGTCCTCTTCAGCTCTGTCTGAGCTCTTCCGCAGGGAAGGGAGTTGTCTGCCCTGAGAGGGGCTGCCAGTGTTGGGTGGGTGGGTGCAGCAGCTGACACCCTTTCTTCTACAGATCAGCCAGAGAGCAAGAAGCTGGCTTCCCAGGGAGACTGTGAGTTCACTGGGTGACATGGGCACAGGCGACTTCACGGGCCAAAGGGTGTGGGGAGTCGGGAGCAGGAAGCACTGAGCACACAGCACCACTCCCTGATCGAGGCTTACAGAGTTCACGTTCCAGGACCCACGAGTTTAGTAGGGATCCCAGGGCCCGCTGAGATTGGGGCTGAAAGCTGTGTGTGGGATGGCCTGGTCAGAAGTGCTTTGGTGAGAAGGGGCTGCAGTGCCCATGGGGTGTAGGAGCCAGTGCAAACTGCCGAGATAAGTGCCAGTTGCCGCGTGGGCAGGGGTACCCTGGGACAGGCGTGTGTGTTTCCAAAGAGGAGCCTAGCCCACTTTCCTTGGGGGATTTCTCTCCACAGCAGTCAGCTCTCAGCTTGGACCCATCCACCCTCCACCACGGTGAGTTGTGGCATGGAGCACGCCTCTGTCTCTGCCTGATGGGCTGTCTGGGGCATGCTGTTTTGGGGCTTTTGCTGTGCCAGCAGAAGGGGGTTGTGGAGCCATATTCCCGCTCTGTTCTGCTCGGCATAAGCTCAGGGATGGGCTTGTGGTGGCCGTGATGGTAGGGGGTCCCTGGCCCATCACTCCCTCTTCTGGGCAGGGGACGCTCAAATGCAGATTCTGGTCTCTGCATATGCTTGGTCCACTGAATGTTGCAGAGCCTTCTGGCCGCCTCAGGTAGATGTGGGTGATCCTGACATGGGTTGTTTGGAAAGGACCATAGTTTTTCTTCTTTATTCAACAGGCTGGTGGTTTTATAAAATATAGTAAAATGTTTACTGCAAAAATGAAACGAACAGGATACCTAACCAATCCCTTATTGAAATATAAAATGATTGTCAGTTTGCTGTAAGAGCTCCTAGCTGTTCCTGTCCCTTTGAGATGAGGGATGACCCAGGCTGCTGCCCTAGACCGAGCCTTTTGGCACAGATGGTGCCACTGAGTCCTTGAGAAGCTGTGTGGCCGCCGTCTCATTCAAGTCTGCTTAGACCTGTGGAGCCTTGGTCTCCAGCTTGTGGGAAGCAGGGCTTGCAGCCTGGAGGGGCAGTACTGTGGCTTCTGGCAGGGCATCTTCTCCAGAAGACCCTTTCAGGCGGAAGCTGACTTTCAGTGTCTCCACAGGACTTCAATGACAGAAGAGTACAGGGTCCCCGACGGCATGGTTGGCCTGAGTGAGTGTGGGTTTCTGTGGTGAGAGAGAGGTGGTGTCCTAGAACCCCTGGCTGAGGGGCTGTGGTGTTCTCTCAATGATCATGAGGGCAGGGGCGCTCTGGGAATGACTTGTGGGCTTTCCCCATCCCTCAGAGGAGCTGCCCTGAAACCTCCACCCCAGCCTCAGCTAATCTGTTTTTCTCCTTTTTTCTCCATCCAGTCATTGGTAGAGGCGGTGAACAAATTAACAAAATCCAGCAGGACTCAGGTTGTAAAGTACAGATCTCTCCAGGTATGCATGGGAGAGCCAGCTTTCCGTCAGGGTGGGGGTAGGGCAGGCTCGGGCTCTTTGTATCTTTCTTTAAGCGTTTAACATTTTGGGGACTCTGTAGTAGAAGTCAGATTGGCTCCTTTATTGGCTGCTATGTACCAGGCTCAGTGCAGAATTGAAACTAGTGTAGCACCATGAGGTGTAGTAACTATGAGTGGCTTCTGTTTGATTCGGGGGGTGGTGCAGTGAGGTGGAAGGAATATAACCAAACTCAAAGTGCCTCCTTCTAGGCGGCATCCTCTGAGCTGCCTTGTAAGTTGTCCGTGAAATGAAATACCCAAAAGGAGAACTAGGTGAGGTGGCTGGGATGGATTAATCTCCTTGAGGTCAGGCCTGGGTTTCAGTCCCATCTTGGCCATGCTGCTGGTGTCGGACAAGCCTGCCTGCTCCTGAGTTGTAGAGCACCTGCATTGCACTTTTGTGAGGACTCTCAGACACATGCCGTGCACCGGCTGTTTGGCCCGGGGAGCCTCAGTGGAGTGGGGGTGCTATGGTTCCAGACCTAGAGCCTGCTTTCCCTCACCTCGTCTTTTTCCCCCGTGATGGACTTGAAGCTTTTTGGGTATTTTTGAGGCAGAGTCTTGCTATGTAGTTCAGGCAGGCCTCGAATGCACAGTGATCCTCCTGCCTCAGCCTCTCAAGTGTGGACATATTGGCGTGCACTACCGCACCCAGCTGAACTGGAAACTTCCTGACTCAAGAAGTCAAGCACCTTCCTGGCCCCCCGGGGATGATGGACGAAGAGTGGCTGTGGGTCCTGGAACTTCCTTTCTGTGCCTCTCGGAGCCCTGCGTCGTGGGCCTGGGCGGGCCCTGACCCTGTCTCCTCTTCTCTCTAGACAGCGGTGGCCTGCCCGAGCGTAGTGTGTCCCTGACAGGAGCCCCAGAGTCCGTCCAGTAAGTCCCCAGTGGGCCTCGCTGTGAGGAGGGGAGCGAGCAGTGTCCTCTCCTTCCCACGTCCCACGCACGTCCCGCACTCCTGTCCCTCCCGAGAGGCAGGTGGATTCCCAGGGACTCTCGGGTCTGGGAAAGCCCTGGCCCCAGTGTCTGGCCCTCCTCCCTGGATCTGGGGTGAAACCTCCCATTTGTGCTGGGTGGCACCAGACCAGTGCTATTCTTCCCCTTCCCAGGAAAGCAAAGATGATGCTGGACGACATTGTGTCGCGAGGGCGTGGGGGGCCCCCAGGCCAGTTCCACGACAGTGCCAATGGGGGTCAGAACGGCACTGTGCAGGAGATTATGATCCCTGCAGGCAAGGCCGGCCTGGTCATCGGCAAAGGCGGGGAGACGATTAAGCAGCTGCAGGTGAGGGGGGCGCCAAGGGCATGGCTGAGCTCCACGTATCAGTACAGCTACCATCCGCCCACCCCCAGCTCCAAAGAGTCCCTTGAGAGCCTGGGCACTGGCGGCTACCTTCGGTTGTCTAGGAACGCGCCGGGGTGAAGATGATCCTAATTCAGGATGGATCCCAGAACACAAATGTGGACAAGCCCCTGCGGATCATCGGGGACCCTTACAAAGTTCAGGTGGGCGCCCAGGAGCTGGGTGGCCCTGAGCATAGCCACAGAGTGGGAGGGGCTTTCCAAGCACCGTTCGGAGGAGGGGGCTGCCTCCCTGCCATGTCCGTATCCTTACCTAACAATGATAGAGCACTGGGGGGTGCCGTGGGCTCCTGGCAGGGTGGGCCCTGGGCAGGGCCGTACTGACTGCGCCTGTGTGTTTGCAGCAAGCCTGTGAGATGGTGATGGACATCCTCCGTGAACGTGACCAGGGCGGCTTTGGGGACCGGAATGAGTACGGATCTCGGATTGGCGGGGGCATCGATGTCAGTCCTGGTCTGCAGCGGGAGGGGAGGTGGGCCAGTGGGAGGTGGAACTGGCTGAGCCCTGTGCACCCCGCCCTCCGCAGGTCCCGGTGCCGAGACATTCTGTCGGAGTGGTCATTGGCCGGAGCGGTGAAATGATCAAGAAGATCCAGAATGATGCTGGGGTGCGGATTCAGTTTAAGCAAGGTCAGGGCTGAGCCTGAGGTATCGGTCAGCACAGGCGGGTGGGGTGGGCCCCTCTCGCCGTGGGTCAGCAGGCCGGGGCACCGTCACAGCTTGTGCCCACCCCGCACCTGCCAGCTGCCTCCTTGACTGGCCGAGAGCTGAGCTGATGAGGCCGGTGGGCAGGTAGGAGCCCCCGGGGCAGCCACGTGCGAGGTGGCCATGTGTGGTCTTTCCAGGTCCACTGGGAACGAACGTCTCCCTCTCCCCACTGAACGGCTCAGCGTCACAGGGCAACCCAGAGACCTGGCGGTGGGGTCAGGCTGCCTGACCCCGCCTAGGCCCTGGCCGACCCTCGGGACGCCTCTGACCACGTGTCAGTTTCTCAGAAGTCTGTTCTGGGGAGTTGCTCAGTTTGCCCTGGGGGTGCCAAGGCAGGGGAATCTCCGCTGCCACCCTCGCTGGGCCACCCCTCCCAGCCCCACAGGGAGCAGCATCCCGGAGCAGCACCTTGCTCTGGACCTTGCAGGCGCTAGTGTGGCCCAGGGTTGTAGAAGTCTCAGGGTTTGGAGTTTTGCCTTTCTTCAATCGGTCTCTGCTCTCTTGGTGCTGCCTCAGATGATGGGACAGGACCCGAGAAGATCGCTCACATCATGGGCCCCCCAGACCGGTGTGAGCATGCTGCGCGGATTATCAACGACCTCCTGCAGAGCCTCAGGGTAGGAGGTCGAGGCCTGAGCGGGCTGCTGTGGGCTGGGAGGAGGCTGGCAGAGGCTGGGGCCAACCGGGGCGCCGACTTGTCCTCTTCGTCCCTGTCTGGCAGAGTGGTCCCCCAGGCCCTCCAGGAGGTCCCGGCATGCCCCCAGGAGGCAGGGGCCGGGGCCGGGGCCAAGGCAGCTGGGGCCCCCCCGGCGGGGAGATGACCTTCTCCATCCCCACCCACAAGTGCGGACTGGTCATCGGCCGAGGTGAGTCGGTCCCGTCCTCCCTGGGGAAGCAGCCTCTGCCCCACCCCACACGCCTGCCCTTCACTGGCCTTGTCTCTCCACAGGGGGTGAAAATGTGAAAGCCATAAACCAGCAGACAGGCGCCTTTGTAGAGATCTCCCGGCAGCTGCCCCCCAACGGGGACCCCAACTTCAAACTGTTCATCATCCGCGGCTCACCCCAACAGATTGACCACGCCAAGCAGCTCATCGAGGAGAAGATCGAGGTGGGCTCTTGGAGGCTCTCTGCAAGCCTGGGCCGTGCCACTGCCTTCCCACACTTAACCGCCTCTTCTCCTCACCTCCAGGGTCCCCTGTGCCCCGTCGGACCAGGCCCAGGGGGCCCAGGCCCTGCCGGTCCCATGGGGCCCTTCAACCCGGGGCCTTTCAATCAGGGGCCTCCAGGGGCTCCCCCCCAGTGAGTATTCCTCTTGCTTCCTGGGGTTTGGGGCCTGGGGTCACCGTCCTGTCTGGAAAAGGGAGGACAGGCCCTTTGCATCTCGGGCTCCGTAGTCTCCCATGAGCCAGAAGCACTGCCGGAGCGGGGTTCCAGGAAGTTCCGCGCTCGGCCTGGATCTCCTGATCTCCGTCCTGCACACCATTCTTGCTGAGGTGTCGCTCTGCGCTAACTTTTCTTGTCCTTGAGCCAACAGTCTTTCCAACTGCCCTGTTGAGCTTGGGGGTCTGGGCTCCTGGCCCCTGCCAGCCCACAGCCATCCCTGCCCTCTGGCCAGAGCCGTCACACCCCACCCAGGTCCTCTCCTTGTCCCCAGTGCCGGCGGACCCCCTCCTCATCAGTACCCGCCTCAGGGCTGGGGCAACACCTATCCCCAGTGGCAGCCACCCGCTCCTCATGACCCGAGTAAGTGACCTGCAGCGTGGGGCTAGTGTTCCCCGGGTGACTCGCGGGTGCCTCGCGGGTCCCCTCCCTCCTCTCAGAGGTCAGCTTTCCCCGTAGATAAAGCCGCCGCCGCAGCCGCGGACCC